GTGACGGTGCTGCCAAGTACCTCACGCACCTCTTGGGTGATGCCAAGCTGTGGGCACCACCGAAAAGAGGGCCCGCGCCGCAGGTTGATGCTCCTTTTGAACACACAGTAAGAGCTGGCAACGCTTTTCAAGAGAAGGCGATTGACTCCGACTCCCCGGGAAACAGCCCCGAAAAAAAAACTCCCCGAACCTGAACCCGAACCCGAACCCGAACCTCCCCCCCCCCCCCCAACCCGAAACCCGAACCCCAACGCCCAACCCGCCCCCCCCCTCAAAAATAGCCCCCCCCCCCCCCCCCTTCAGTCCGTCGGCTGCCAAGCAACCCCAACCTGCCACCCCTTCCGGGCGGTTGGAGGGTGGCCGAGTAAATCTTGAACCTAACTCTGCTCAAGTCTCATAGCACAAGCCTGCCCCAAAGACAGTGCGCGGCTCGGTCGCACGTGTGGCCACCTCGCCGCCGCCCCCTCACAGGGAGGCGTCACGGACGCCTTGTGTTACGCCCCGACAAACAGTGACTAACAGCGTCCCCATTAAAGAGGAGGCTGGGGTTGGGTTGCAATTTCTCCCCTCAGTCCGAACCTCAAGCTACCGCACAGGGACCCCGGTGTCATTCCCGAGCAGCGTGAGCAAGAACCCTGCCCAGTCGCAGGGCGGAGGACATGATACCCCAGCTGCCCTGAGCATGTGACCCGTCCCCCTGCTAGGCGTACAGAACCCCACCTCTTCGCCGTCCTCCAAGCCCCAAGCCACGTCCAAAAACGGCTAACCCGTCAGTTCCGGGAGAGGCAAGGGACGCATCACGAACGCCGTGTAGCACGCCTAGGGCTGCACCCGGACCGCGAGTGACCCTCCGGCGCCAACTCCCCAGTCGAGCATTGGCTCACTTGCCGGGACATCTTGTGGAGCGGGGATAATGTCCAAAGTCCCCTACCCCACCTCCCCCTGCGAAAAAGGAGACTCGTCCCCTGGTGCTGGACAATGCAAGGCCACAGGAGCCACCGAAAGTGAAGCCTCGTGGTGCCTCTCCTGGTCCGCGGGGCCCCGCCCACACCACACCAACTTGGCGAAATGGACGGGAATAACCAGTCGACCCTACATTGCCCTACATGAGTCTTAAGGACTCGACGCATCTAACAACCCATGAACAACAACTTCGTGCCTATCGGGCCTACGAAGATATGTTGCAAAGCCTGCCGACCCACCTAGACGAGCCCGAGTACCTCCTCGAGGTCGCTGATAGGCTCCTCCACTTTGCCGGAGACCTTCCCAGCATCATACTTACAGCTCTATGACCCGCTCGTGCCGCAGTGCCTGAAGCTCTCTGGTTCTCTGCAATTCATTGAATAGGTGCCCTACTGCTGGCGTTTGAGGCTCACCAGAATGGGCCCCCGGGACGCGCAGCGGGCCTGCCTATTGTGTTGGGGTTCCCAGAATCCGAGCAACGCATCACAGACCTCCAGGTCAACGTGCCCCTGGCGGCAACGGTCGCGCTTTTGGCTGGCCGGGCATATCAGAGGCCCACATGCCCTGAGACTGTATACGAGAGGGATAAAAATGGCTTGCCCATGGTACAAGGACAGGTGCAGGAGTCGAGCTTGCGAGAATGGGCGACGTCTGCCAGACACGCGAATCTGGAAACGGCCAGAAAGAAACAGGTGCCTGCAATTAATGCGTTCGTGAGGGTCGCCCTAGAAGGCTCACACGTGCTCCGGCATAGACAATTTCGCGAGTTCAACCCGCCTGACCCCCCGATGCATTTTCTCGATGCCATCAGACAGGCCCTCGCGGCTTCAGTGGCTTTTGGTCTGCTTATAACCTGGAGTGGCCTGATATTACGGCACGCGCCAACGTATCGTTTCGTCGTGTCCTCCCATTGGAGGGGCTTTTCGATGTGCCGCAAGCCACGGAGCCCTTCGCGGCGGCACACAGCGAGCATCGTCTAGAGGTTCACGGCAGCTCTTCCGAGTCGGAGGAAACCACGCCAAAGTCCCCTGCTTCGGAGCCACAAGAAATGGAGGATGCTGAGCCACAAGTAAGGGACTGGCGCTTTTCGGAACTGCACACCACAGACCTAGCTGTTTTGCGAGAAGTGGACGTTTGCATTCCTTTTCGACTGCCTGCCTTTGAAGATGACCACTGGAAACGGCTGGTGGCACCCCCAACCATGCGGGGTGCTCGCCGAGAATGGTACGACGCTGCTACGGCGCACTGGGCCGCTTGCAAAGGGCTTGCCCGGTCGAGACATCCCACCAAGCAAAGTCTTAACAGCTTTTGGTTTAAGATGTATTGCCATCGAAACCCCAAAGAGCCAGAGCCCTCTGCTCTCAAAGTGATAACTTCCTTCCCTTATAAGCATAAGGGTGACGGAGTAATTCACTACCAGCAAGTAGATGCTGCCGCTAGAACGCTGTGGCACTCTGCCAGAGCACGAGTGGCACAATAATTCCCAAGGGCATCCCTCCTTGGGGAGCGGAAGCGGAGAATTTGCTGGGAAATGCGGGAAACACGACACAGGATCCTGACGCGGACCTTACACAGTCGGTCGCGGCGGCGGGCCCAGCTGGGGTTGTGGTGGAACCACGCTTTCGAGTGGGAGCCGAGACATCTGGACAGGCACGACAGGCGAACGACAGCTGGGATGGCTCCTGGCAATGATGGGACAATTGGGGCATCCGCCCCCCGAGATTGCTTCTGCAAGAATGAAAACATTCAATGCGATATGAGCTGCGAAGAGCGATGGAATCGGTAGCCTCTTGTGGCTACTCTTGGATAGCCCCACTGGCTGATCAGCATGGGGCAGGAAGATTCAGTGGGGCGAACACCTGATCCCTCACTGACTGGTCACGGTGCGTGCTTCTACGTTGAACTGTGCTGGTTTTCTGCCTTGATCGACACTGCCTGGCGAGCCGGGTTGGAGTGTCGTCTTGCAAATGACTCTTAAAGGAGCTACCTTGGCACCTTTTGGCTGTGCGCATCCTTGGCTGATCACCATGGTCAGTCGGCTGTGGCTACTTACGGAAGACCCCACTGGCTGATCACCATGGGGCAAATTTGGCCTACCCTCCCTGTGGGAGGGGTAGGCCCCGATGGGGTATTGCATCATGCCTCGGTTGCCACCACAACAGTCAAACTTCGGCCGATGCAACCAACCTGCAGGATGCCAACTTATTCAGATGATTGCGTGATGGTGGTTTTGTTCTCTGGCACACAATCGCATTTTGCGATTCCCTCACACGACTTGGTGCTGCTGTGGCTCTGCTCAGGGACAACATCGACGAGCTTGGGTACTGAGCGCGTGGGGTCTTCTTAGTAGTTTCGCCGCCCTCTTCTGGTTTGTCTGTTGGTTGTTGTGTGGCTGCTTTGGTGGGTTGGGTGGTTTCGTCTTTCTTGGTTGTGTAGCTTTTTTCTGGCGATCTGTTTCACACCTAGTTGAGAGACCCACAAGAACGGCATACTGTGCTACTGATGTACTAAAGAGGCGCCCGCTTAAAAAAAAAACAGTCCGAGCCTGTGTGGAAATGGTGGACCAACTTACGCATGCAGCCATGAGATCCTCCAGGATCGGGTAGCACGGGTCCCTTCCAAGAAGGAAAAGGACACGCACCAACTCCCCTTTGACGTTCATGACATTGGGCAATCCACGCTTGTCGCGGCAACGCATGGGAGCCTTACTGCGCACTTGGGATTTGCCTATTCCTCGCTGGCCAAATAGGCCCAACAGCTAGGCACGCCGGGAGCGAACTGCGTCTAAGTCTGCAGCCCACTTGGTTTACCCGTCACTGAGTTGTCATCTAAGTTTTGGTCAGCTTCTTCCGCTTTCAGGTCAGTTCTTGCCCAGCCCCCTTGGTGCCAGAAATACCGTGAGATGACCTGGACGCCATGCAGGCGGGAGCGAAAAGGGAGGCAGAACGAGGCCCACTCAGATGGTAAGATGCGGAAAAGCGGAGAAACAACCTGAATGAAGGTGGAGTGAGGGCGAGCCGGGCTTCGATTCAAGAAGCAGACAATTCCTCTGACTGAAGGGAGGGACCGGGAAGGGGTGAGGGGGGAGTGGGGAAGGGAAGGTCGGGAGGAAGTCGTAAGCAATTTGTTTGACTTTTTTGGGGGTGGGAAGGGGGGAGGTGAGGGGGGAGGAAGGGGAATTGGGATTGGCAATGCTCACTAAGCGCCGCGCCTTGAGTGGGGTCGGCGGAGTTTTGGGAACCTCCTCCCATTTACCCCAATTTCCATTATGCTTACAGCGTCCAGGCCCCGAGAGACATGAAAGGGTTGCTGTATACCCTCCACTTGTGGGCGAACGATTCTTCAAACTGATAGAAAGCCCTGCAATCCCTCTGCCTGCGCGTTGAGCACTGGGCAATTGTTTCTCGGAGTCCTGGACACGAACCCCTAAACCTTAAACCCTAAATCCTAAACCCTAAACCCTAAACAGCCAGGGCCGCGCAGAATTACGGGGGGCCATTCCACGGATCCAGCATTCGGAGACGAAGGTGATGGCCACAGTGCAACTACAAGTGCGTGTTCATGTGACAAGCGAAGACCGTACAGAGCACCTGGGAGCTTTTACGTGTTTTCAAAGGCATCTCCATGTCCAGAGAGGGTGAAAGCAAGCATAACTTCTGAATACGCTGGCAGCACGAGGTTTAAAGTCGAGGGTCGTTGGTCTCTTCAAAGGCAGAGGAACAGTGTTGACAAGGTTCATGGACGTCTCCACCCACACCGCCTTGCTCGTGGATAAGCTGTCCGTTTCCGAGGCACAGTAGCAGTCGCTTGCAATCTGTGTTGTGTGTAGTTCTCAATGCTGTTGCCTGGGGGGAGGGGGACGCTTACTGCAGTCTTGTATCTGCACAACCACAAGCCAGGCAAGAAGAACGTGTTTCTCAGCAGATGCTTGCCACCAAACGTTCTTGGCTCAAGCTCTTTGAAAATTTAGAAACTCAGGAGCTGCCCGTTTCTTGTGCTCCCTTTAACAGTGTGTTCCCCCGCTGATTTCCGCGTTGATGGTGTACGTGATCTCCCCAGCCTGCAGCTACTTGCTGGTAGCGCTCGTCGTGCTCGTCGTGCATGCCGCCAGTCCACCTGGTGGTGCCTTTGAGTGTCCATGTATCAGCAACACATCGTCATCATGGGCTGTGATCCGCGCAGAGCTCCTGACACATGCTGGATATGGCTCAGACTATGGATTGCAGGGATGCCAGGAGTACGACAGAGATCTCGTGCAATCTGGGTGCTCGCAGAACGAGGCCGACTTCTGTGAGCGCAGCTGGTGCTACGTGGATGTCGACGCCTGCCGGTACAACGAAACGGCGTGCACAGCTGCAGGTGGTCAGCCGGGAGGGACGGCATCGCCGTCATGCCGGACTCGGCCTATGACAGACAGTAGCTTATTGTCTACGGCAGTTTACAGCTATGAAACCTGTGGGTACAGGAACACATATGATTTGGGCCCAATCATGGAGCCCATTGCAGGAAAGGTGATGAGATTCGCTGCTGACGACTTCAGCTGGTTCGTTTACACCAAGCCGGAGGTGGATCCGGAAAACCCAAATGTCACCAAAGCAGGTGTCGACTATGACTTTTTCGTTGAGCTGGCCAGCAATTTCAACCCCCAAGCTACATTTGAGTTTGTTGATGGCTTTTCAACGCAAGTTTCCAGGTCGCTGTTCTCAAGCTCTTGGACGGCGTGCGTACACGATGTTGCTGTCGGCTACATCGATGCTTGCGTCGGCCCATTTTGGATCACACCTGAGCGGGCGGAGATGACTCAGTTTCTCTCAATTTCGGTTGACCTGTTTTACCTCATCGCACCGAAGCAGGACGAAACGCCCAGCTCACTGGGGGACTTCATTGCTGCCCCCTTCAGGCCATTCATGCCGGAGACTTGGTTGGCCATCGTGTGCTTTTTGAGCGTCCTCGCCTGCACGCTCTGGGCCATCGAGGGCTGGGAGACTGGTTGCACTCTTGGTTGGCGATCGCAGGCCGAGAACGGTTTCGTGAAAGCCTACGAGACTGTTCAGGCCTTTCTCGCTGGAGGTGTTGAGGCAGAGAGCCACAACTTGCCCCGCAAGTTCCTGGTTCTTGGTTTCGCCTTCTTCCTTTTGATTGTCAGCGAGAGCTACTCAGCCAGCCTGACGTCTATGTTGGTCGTGAGGAGGGAGGCCTCTGGGAACATTGAGAACATTGAGGATGCCATCGAGAGGGGCATGAAGATCTGTATTCCTGCCGTGATCGCACCCACTCTCAAGAGCATGCACGGCAATGCGCAGTTTGTTGAGCTGGGCGACTCACGTTCTCCCCCGCGTCACATCTATGCTGGGGACTGTGAGGTCGGGATCATGGCTCAGAGTGGTATCGACTTGCTGGAGTCCGGTGCGCTGCACCAGTCAGACTGCGAGAACGTGAGGTCCAACGGGAAGCCCGAGTCAGAGTACCGATGTGAGACCGACTCAAAAGGAAAGGCGAGGGATGATTGCAACTTGCTGAAGGTTGGGGAGGTGCTCACCTCTGTGGGCGTTGGCTATCCTGTCAACACCAAGGCTGCACAGAGCCTGTCTTGGGCGGTGACCAAAGCTACCATGGCAGGAAAGTACAGCGACGCGATGCGCAGTCATCAGTCCATGAAACCCAGAAGCCAATGCCTAGCAGCTGCTGAGATCTCCGTGGAGGAGGATGGTCTTCCCGTTGAGTCCATGGTAGGTGTTATCATCATCAGTAGTATGTGTCTCGGCGTCTCTGTCGTAATTTTGATTGGCCGCATGCTCTGTCAGCGTAGAGACCCCCAGAGCAAGCCAGAAGGGGAAGATGCCGAAGCTGCCGATGCCGACGCTGCATAGTGGCAGCGCCTGGGGTCGATATAAGAGTAGTGGAAGGTTGATAAGTTCATGTGTTGTTCTTGTCGTTTTCTTGTGAGTCGCTAGTGCTCATGAGTGCTGGTATTTTGATCTTCTCGTTCGGTTGAGGCATTGAGCGTGCACAGTTGTAAGGAGCTTTGGCAACGCCTATTGCTCACCCCGTAAGTGGCTTACTCCTGTGTTGCCACGCTCGGTCGGAGATAGTTTTAAGCTCAGCTAACAGGCCTTTGATTAACGGCACTTGGCAAAGCCAGGGACGAGACAGGCCTTTGATTAACGGCACTTGGCAAAGCCAGGGAGGGGTGTATGCTCTCCAGGCCGACCACGACCACGATTTCTTTCCTCGCAGCCATGATGGCTTGGCAAAGCCAGGAAGCGATGGACGCCCAGCCCTGGAAAGCAAAAGCCCTGCTCCTGCCCTGTCCATCTCCTTTCTCATGGGACACGTAACAGGGTCTCTGTCACAGTTGCCTTCCCGCCATGTCTGTTCCTGCTGAAGAGGCGATGGATGAGCTACTCGGCTACGAGGCGACTGCCAGAGCATCGGCTGTTGATTCCTTCTAAAGCCATGATCATATGCCAGAGCCTGAGCATGCAAGAGCCCAGTACCCGACCTTAAACTCTTTCAGAGCGCACTGCTTGGGCTGAGGGAGTCTTGGTCTTGCGCCCGCCGGTATCCCACCCTCACAGGCATCAGCAAGCAATTCTAGTGTTCAGTGGTACAAGCTCCATTCAGATGCTGCCAGCAATTCACCACATGCCCCTTATCTCCGCCACCAAGATTTGCTTGGCCCACTGCTGACATGACAGAACTTCAGAAGCTGCAGGTATGGCCTTTGTCCACGTTCCGAGCGCAGACAGGGACAGTTCCTGGAGAAAAGGGTCAAACAGTTTACAGGAGCCCGATAAGCGACTCCGTCTGGGAAAGGTGTACAGAATTTGCGGTCCTGTTGTCTTCATCCCCAGGGTCAGGAGTTGTTCGCGAGGGCGAGTGTGAGGCCAGTGTTTGCGTTCATCGCGAGCAGAGGGAACCTGGACATCGGCTTTCAACCTTGGGGAGAAACCGAAATCCGAACTTGAACAACCCCCCTGCAGCCTCTGCATGTTACTTGTAGAACATCTTCCTTCGACAGGCGGATGCTCATCTTTGATCCCAGCCATGCTCTCGGCGGCGCTGTGAAGTTCCTTGGAGAAAAGAGGGCACCTAGCGGAACAGCTGGTCATGGAGTCTGTGACAATGGTAGGAGCGCCCGTGTTAGCTTCATGCAACGGAGACAACCGATGAAAGATCTCAGAGGACAATGTTCAGTTCAGTCAGCTTGGCTAAGCATCAACCAACTAAACTCCGCTTTGTGATGCTGACCTCATGTGTTGCATCCACGTCCGCGCAAAACATCCCTCAGCTTCTTTGTAGGTCGTCTCAAGCCTTGGCCGTCGAGATGTTCGCGTGCTGTGAGGTGCCGACTGTAGATGTCATCGTGCCGGAGCCCGTCTCCTTGGAGGCAGTGAAGCTGGGGGGCGAGAACGCGTGGGGCCCCCAATTCGTGCATTCCGGCCTGACCTGCGACGAGCTCCGGCGGGGCATGGCTGCGGACCTCGACGTCCGCTGGCGCTCCCTGCAGCTGGTGGCTGGTGAGCGCCGGTTGGAGGGGCCGCAGACCTTGGAGGACATGGGGTTCGTAGAAGGGAAGTATCAGGTCCAGATGGTCCTGCAGGACAACTCCGCGGAGATTCGGCATATCCAAGAAGCCATCGTGAAAGGCGCCACAGCCGACAAGGTGAGCCTGACGGAAGGCTTATCGGATGATGAGGTGGACATCCTTGAGAAGAAGTACGGGTTTCGGTTTCCCCCAGAATTCCTGGAGTTTCTGCAGGCCGGTGTCCTTGTGGGCGGTGGCTGGCATGATTGGCATACCTTGGCATCACGTGAACTCGAAGGTGAGAAAGATACTGTGGCCTGGATCATCAAGTGCCACTGCACACCAGAGGAAGACGACTACTACTACTTGAAAGACTGGTGCCCGCCCGAAGAGAAGAGCATGGAGAAAGCTGTCGAGTATGCCACCAAGGTCTACCCCGTGATTCCCATGCGGATCCATCGATGCATCTGCACCGTACCTCACACCACGGGCTTGCCAGTACTGTCCATGCACCAGATGAGTGATAACATCCAATATGGCAACAACTTTTGGGATTGGGTTGCCCGCGATACTCATTTGCCAGAAGGCACTGTGCCAGAGGAATGGAAGGCAAAGAAGTCCATCCCCTTGGAAGAGGTACCCTTCTGGCAGCACTGGAACAACTGATATGCCTCCAAGTCTCTTTGCTTGACACAGTATGTGTCAAGGGTTGCAACACTCCCCCGCTTTAAGGCGGCGAAGTGCAACGGTGAAAGCTGCTCGATGCTGTACCGTCCTGTACCATCCGGTACCATCCGGTACCATCCGGTACCATCCTGCAGCATTTCATAGACCCTTCTGTCACCCGGAGTTGCAAAAAGGATTCGGAGACATTGGATGATGTCTTGTGAGACATGGGAATCTATCCGGGTTTTGCATGAGTCGGGGATGTGCCGAGGTGCTTTGCTTCCTGGCTGACCCGCGTCTGCACTTGTGTGCCAGTTGGCGGCAGTTGCGGTCTTAGTATTTAGGGTGTAGGGTTTAGGGGCCGGTCTACTTTCCATGGCTATCATGCAATCCTTCCCAAGGTCACCGCGCGCCCAAACCCGAAGCACAAACCCTCATTACTTGCAGCTACGAACACTGATGCCGTGAGTGCTATGAATCACTATGACTGGTTCTACCATTGGTATTGCCCATCATCTTTCATGATCTGTACTGTATCTGTTGTCACTTTTTCGTTACTACCTTTCGCTACTGCCCACTACATCTCGTTTTTGTTTGCTATCTTTAGGCATTACCATGTATTGTTAATGAAGTAGTAGCAATGCTTTCTAGCTCCTCAAGCTTTGGCTGCAAGATTGGAAAGTTTGTGTGGACATTAATGGTCCCTTATACGAACAGCCCTTAATCGGGATTAGAATAGGGGGTATGAAAATCGTTCTTAAGGACTCTTAGTATAAGCGGGAACATCCCCCTAAACCGGAACCCTAAACCCTAAACCCTAAACCCTGAACCCTAAACCCTAAACCCTAAACCCTAAACCCTAAATCCTAAACCCCAAACCCTAAACCCTCAGCCTCAACAGTCCGAGCTGAGCCCTCTGGTTGCGGCACTTGGAGGTGCTCGGGTGTCCCGTGCATCTGGGGTTCGTTGACAGCATTGGCCCAACGGCTTCTTGAAGCCGTATTTAGGGTTTTGGGTTTAGGGTTTAGGGTTGCTGAGGCTTCATGTCATGCAACTGTTTGCGCAAGGAGCCCTAAATCGAAAACCTTAAACCCAACACCCCACATTTTTGCTAAGCCGCAGCGGTCAGTTCCCATCCCGACTGTTGTGAGGATGGCGAGGCATCACCCGGACCCCGGGTCCTAGTCGCTCAGCTGCCTATCCAGCAAAAGCTGCAACAACCCTACCGGCCTCCCTGACATGCAGCTTTGACTAAGTCGAGCTGTCTCAGGAAAGCTTCACCAGGATTCGGTTCTTGCCGATCCTTAAATGCATGAACGAGTTCGGTGCGTTACGCGATTGGGGGAGTCACGGCCGTCATACCGCATGAGCTGGAGTGATCTTTGATCACCAAGAGCTTCATAGCTGACCTGCTCAAGCGAATTGAGATCGCAATGCTTGTCGTTCAGCCGTTCGGCCAATGATAGCAAAGTACATCAAAGTAGCAATGGCCTTTTGCGTTTTTCCTACCGAAAACAGCTTGCAGTTGTAGCCTGTAGCCGATGCCCTGAAAGTGCCTATACGTTTCATAGAAATATACATATATATATATATATGTTTATATGTATATATATATATATATCTTTTTTTGTCTGTATATATTGTTGTTGTTAGTATTCGTATCATCAATATTTTTTATACGGCCCCAAACCCGAAAGTTGAAACCTGCAATCCTCGAGGCGGCGATGGATGTGACATGCGAACGACATGGTCTGCTCTGATCTAAGAAGATCTGATCTGAGGGCAATATGATATGATCTGTTTGTCTGGTATGATCTGACATATTATGATATACTATGGTATAAGGTGGTATGGCATGATACAGCATGACAAACGGGGTCAGAAAAGAGCAGTGGAGGATCAAAAAAGGGAGGGGGGGCTAAAGAAGAGTGGGGTGGGGGTCAGAGAAAAGAATGGGGGTCAAACACAAACACAAACGGGGGGGGTGGGTGGGTGCTCAAAAACAAGACTTCCCCATTTCAAAAAAAATATCCATAAATGTTTGCAGGCATGTCAGCTTGAGACGCGCAGCATTTTGCTTGCAGTGGTGGTATGTTCTTGAGGTCATGCTACATGATATCTGGCGGTCTCGACTGATATGTGAACAAGGACTAATTAGACCAGAAGCGCCATCATCTCACTGGTGCTCTTCTCAAGCCATGTCTGCTCCGAAACGGCCCGCTCCTACGCAGTGCGTGAACCGGCAGCCTCCCGAAATCTACTCTTGGCTTCTGAGCTGGAATTCTAGCATGCTTTGGGTATCCCGAATCACCAGTTGGCGGCATGTTCGAGTTATGTTAGTCTAGCTGAGGGATGCTTCGCAAGTCGGGGACTTCCTGACGACGCTCTCGCTCGATCGCTGGAAGCCACTTTTCGAAGAGGTGGACGGGGCAACATTGTCCCAACTGTCAGAGGATGAGCTGAAAGAGATCGGGTGCACTGAGCTGCTTCCGCGCAACTTGGGCTTCTTGGTAAAACGTCCGTCTTGAAGGTTCCTGCCTCCGCAGACAGAAGTCCGATACGAACACTTGGCTAAGGCAAGAAGCTGATGGGACACATCGCCAAGCAGAAGTTCCTGGCCGAGCCTCCGGCATCCGCGGAGGTAGGCGACGATGTTGAGATGGTGGATCCGGCCGAAGAGCCGGAGCTCCCGGAGCCCTCCGGGAGGAGCGCGGAGGATGCCACGCTGTCCGCGATGGCCGCGGAGCGCGGGATGCTGGCGGAGCTCCGCGGGAAGCTTCAGCAGGCGCTGCAGGACTTGCGTGGGAGCCTGGAGGAGGCAGAGCCGACTTGAAGAGAAACACCGGGGGTTTTGCGGGGTGCTTGGTGGGATTGTGCAGGCATACACGGAGGGAGGCACACAGAGAGACACAGAGAGACACACAGAGACACACAGAGACACACAGAGCACAGAGAGATACAGACAGAGAGACACAGACACAGAGCTGCATAGACGCAGAGCTGCACAGACACAGTGCAAGACCAGGGCAAAGGATATTTTAGGCAACCTGCCGACGAAGGCCAAGCCTGTGGCTGGTTTGGCCATGGATCTGGCGAAGGAGTGCCTCGATAAGATCTCCGCGGCCCATGAGGCGGCCGAGGCGAAGCCCGTCCATGTGCCGCTCTTCGGGAACACCGGTGCCGGTAAGAGCACCCTCTTGAACGCGGTGCTGTGCCAGGAGCGCCCAGAGCTTGGACTTGTGTAAGGCGGCTTCCACGGGTTTGTTGAGGGTATACCTGACTTCTTTCAGCCCTCCAAGATTTTTCCAAGATTTCTCGCCCGAGGAGACCGTTCCCACCTCGGGGTGGCGCTCCTGCACGGCGGTCCCCGTTGAGCTGGTGCCGGAGCCCGGGGCGGTGGAGTTCAGGGGCGAGGTCCATCTGAAGAGCCCGGAGGCTTGGAGGCTCGAGGTGGAGGCCTTACTGAACGACCTGCTCATGTCGGACCGCACCCGGATCTCCCGCCGGGAGCCTGTGCGAGGTGGGGAGCCGACCCCGGCAGCCGTGGCCTTCGACACCCTCGTCGCCGTCTACCCGGAAGCCTTCGAAGAAACCCGTCCATGGCCAGACAAGAGGGCCGCCCAAAGGCATCTGGAGCGCACGGACAACCGCGTCACCCGGCAGCACCGGCAGTCGCAGGTGCTTCGCTTCTCGAACGCCCGCAGCCTGGAGCTCACCAGTGAAATCCTGGACTACGTGGACAGCCCGGATGGCGAGTATGTTGCAGCTTTCTGGCCCCTGGTCCACAAAGTGCGGATTTCTGGACCCTTTGAGTGCCACCCGCGTGTGGTGCTTGTGGATGCGCCGGGGGTGCAGGATGCCAACTCCGCCCGAGCCTCCGTGGTGAAGCAGCTCCTCGAGGAGGCCAGCGGCGTGGTCATCGTGTCGGCCATCAAGCGCGCCGCCACGGAGAAGGCAGGTCTTTTGTGAGCTCCCTTCACTCTTCCCTTTGTTTCATGGCTCTTCTTGTTGTGACTCATAGTGTGCGTGTGAGCTGAAGCTGTGCCCCCGGTGAGGTGGCTCAGGAGATGCTGGGTGAGAGGTTCCGGAGGCAGATGCTGATGGATGGCCACTATGCCGGCAGCTTGGCTTTTGTCGCCACTTGCACCGATGAGCTGACCCTGTCGGAGTTGCGGAAGAACCTGAAGATAGGTGATGATGTACCTCAGCAAGAAGCCGCAATGCTTCGCAACCAGAGGACAAAGGAGCGCATCTTGGCCGACACCTTCGCGGGAATACGGCGCATTCAGGCTCAGAGCGACAGCGCCCGGAGCTCGAACGAGGAGCTCCGAGCCCGAGGCATCTTCCCAGCAGTTTTCACCACCTCGGCCCGGGACTACCAGAAGTTGCGCGGCCTGCTGGACACGAAGGTGGATGGCGCAGCTCGAATCTGGAAGAACGTAGAGGCGGGGGGGGGGCCTAAACAAAAACACGTGAACTGAAGGATTTCCACTGAGGGCTTTCTTCCTCATCACCGCTTGGGGATCTCGTGCATGGTGCTCCTCAGGAAATTTTGGGCCGGGGACGACGTGGAAGTAGAGGTGGGTAAGAGCATGATTGCCATAGGGTTTTGGAGAGACCAGAGACTGAGCCCGAAAGGACACGGAGATTCCAGCCTTCCGATTCTGGCTTCATGCGCAAGGTCAGAAAGCGGACCTCACTGCCATCGCGAAGGCTGAGGAGAAGATGCAGGCAGTCGTACAGAAGCTCAAAGAGGCTTCTACAGGTTCTTCGCAGCCGATGGACGCTTTGCTGCTTCACTGTCATGTAGCCTTATGTAGCCTAAGATCTGCTTCTGATTTTTCTGAAGTGCTGGGCAAAGTGCCGCTGCAAGGAAGATGGTCTCGTGCAGCGATGGGCCGAGGATGCGCGACACAGGATCCAAGCGGTGATGGATGAGGCCATCCGAATTTGCATGAAGCAGGCTCGGACGCAGCTGCAGAGCACCCTGTCGCTGCGCATTCGTGTGGGCGAGAGGGAGGCTGCAGAGACTGCGGCGCAGACGTTTAAGGTGCGGTGCAGCCCTCAAGGCCAGGGGGGTCTTCACTGGGGCACCTTCAAAGCCACCTGCCGCCGCGAAGGTGAGTGGCGCGAGAGCTTCAACGAGCTCCTGGCAGATCCGCTGAACCGCGCCATCGCTGTGAAGTGGGATGAGATGCTGAACAGCTTCTTGCCCCAGTGTGTGCAAAACACACTGGACACCCTTTGCAGCGAGCTCCTTGAGCTTCAGAAGAAGCATGACCTTCCTTGCCCGGCCTTTGATGAGGCGGCTGAGTGGCTGAGGAGCCAGGGCCCGTCCATGAAATCTTCAGTGCAGAAACGCCAGATGGAGCTGTCACGGCAAATCAAGGACACCATCCAGGCGCTCATGAGGTCCAGCTACCACGAGGCTGCCGCCCAGAGTGGAGCTGGCACCGACGTCCGGCAGAAGCAGGTCATCTACCGCCAGGTGACGCAGAACGGCGCGCCCATGTTCAAGTCTGCCTCCTCCTTCCTGGAGGACGAACTGGGCCAGCTCATGGCCACCCTCGAGAAGAAGTTGGCCACCTCCGTCAAAACTGCCATCTCCCGCCTGGAACAGTCCATGATTCGCTTGTCAGCCCAGGGCAAGGAGATGGAGGCAGGGTCGCAAAGTGCGTGCCGGAACCGAAAAGGCCTCAGACCGTAGCCCCCTCTCCACTGGCCTTGTTGCACCAAGTTCGACATGTAGAATAGGACCTGAACTCCGAAAACTCCCTGTTGCCCCTAAACCCTAAACCCTAAACCCTAAACCCTAAACCCTGAACCCTAAACCCTAAACCCTGAACCCTAAACCCTAAGCCCTGAAATCCCGGCAAAGACAGGCCCTGCAGCGCCTGCGCCAAGCCTGCGCAGCTGCGGCCACGCGGGCTCTCGCCAGTGCCGGGGAGCGCCAGGTACTCCTGCAGAGGCTGAAGGCGCGCCCAAGTTGTTGTTTAGGGTTGAGGGTTGGGGGTTGAGGGTTTAGGCCTAAACCCTAAACCCCAAACCCAAACCCTAAACCCTAAACCCTAAACCTGGGGATGCGCAGGGACCTTGAGGGATTTTAGGGTTTGGGGTTCAGGGATGCTCAGGGACGTTGAGGGTTTAATTCCGGCCCGTGTGGTGTGTTGCGCAGGATCTGGTGGCTGAGAAGGAGGCGTGCACCCTGCCGACCCCGGCAGTGGAGATCCCAACGGCGGCGGACACGGATGCCGTGCCGAACGAGTTCATCTGCCCCATTTCACAGCAGGCCCGTTGAGACTGTTGCGATTGGAGCTTGATCTTTGTGGGTTGTTTCGCGGCAGACTCTGCTGTAGAAGTTTTCGCGTCATGGGCGTCGCTTAGGTCATGGAGGACCCGGTGTTTACCGCAGACGGTCAGACCTATGAGCGGGTGCAGATTGAGAAGTGGCTTTCATCCCACTCTACCTCGCCAATCACAGGGAAGGAGCTCGAGCACAAGACCCTGGTGCCGAATCACAGACGCTTTGCCACCATTTCCGTTGATGCCTCGTAGCCGTTGCTGTCTTCGGGTTGAGGGTTTAGGATTCAGGGTTTAGGGTTTAGGGTTTAGGGCTTCAATCCATCAAGGCCTCCGGAAGCTGATCATGGACTCGAGCCATGCCAGCAAATCGACCGCCACAGCCGCGGAGAATGGTTCGACCGATGGCCATCGGGCCGGCGGCCAGGAGATGGAGGAGGACGGCGTGGAAGCTGCAGATGATGGAGAAGGCTCTGACATGGCTTCGAGTGACCTTGAGGCAAGCCTTGAAGCCATCATCACTGAGTTCAGAGAAGCCGAGGAGCCCGGTTCGAGTGGCGAGCCTGAGGAGCGGCTTTTTGGTTCTCCGGATCCCTCTTCTGAGGAGGAGCCTGACGAGCCTGAGTGTGATCTCTTTAGCTCCGACGAGGAGCTGCAGAACGAGTCCGGCTGCCCTTTGGAGAAGCCTGAGGGTGATCTCTTTGGCTCCGACGAGGAGGAGGAAACGCCTGGCTGTTTGTTGGAACACGAGGTTGCTCCTTCTGAAGATGAGCATGATCTCTGTGGCCCCCCCTCCGACGAGGAGCTTGGCTCGGAAGAAGAGCCCGAGCAGGAGTCTGGCAGTCTGAAGCCGAACGAGGCTGCCGAAGATCCTGAAACGGACGGGCTTGAACAAGCTGCGCCTGAGCCAGAAGGGTCCAACGAGCGTCAGAAGGATGGGCCAGACGACCGCTCGACTGTCATGGGGTCGCTGCTGGGTGCAATCTTCGGGACCCGGAGACGTGCGAGATAGGGGTGTTTGCTTGAGTAACACGGGATTTGGGGGCTGACGTGCTTCTTCTTTGGGGGGTACAGAGAAGCACCTTGTATAGATCTGCCGTGATGAGCCGGGAGCTCCCGTGACTTTAAAACTTTAGGACCTTAGCAGCTGCTGCCTCAGATCCTCGTGCGGCAGACAAAAGACACAAATGGGAGTTGTGCTGCCGTAAGTGCCGGAGTGTCTTGGGCATCCTCGTGCAAGCTAGCGCGGTGTCCGCAACTAGACTCGCCTAAGATCCAAGGAGCTGATGCCCAATATATGTATAGAAATATGTATATATCTACACACACACATTTTTCAGATGTATATATATATATATATAGAGAGAGAGAGAGAGAGAGCGACAGTGATATCATTTGACAGCATGTTGAATGTGGTGATAACATATTTTGCCAAGTGCAGGATGCCCTCAGCCCGGGACACATTCAGGGCAGAAGGCTCGGTGAGAAGTTGCCTTTGTGTGCATTTCTTGTGTTCTGTGTGTTTGCTTTCATGTATTTGAATTTTGTTTCCAACAAAGTTTGTGAGCAGACCATGAAAAGAAAATACTAGCAATCTGTTCATTGGGAAGCTAGTGGTTTTACCCCATGGAGGAGTGAGGAATGAGAACAAACAATCCGCCAAGGTTGATTTATCCAGATTCTCCCATCCCATTTTTGACACTTGCTATACGGATTCCCACAATGGATGTAAGTCTGACAAAAAATCATCAGAAAAGCAGGATGACCCCAAGAACTGCTATTGTTGAAGAACTTTGTGAAGTAGCTCTTCTCTGCGTGGGAACCGGTGTGTTGTCGCAGATGCAGAACTGACCCTCGATCTGTGCAGAGCGACATGCACCCCACCCCCCCCTTTATGAAAAGGCTTGGAGCGAAGCTCTCATTCCGAACCCTAAACCCTCCACCCTAAGCCCCTAAACCCTAAACCCTAAACCCTGAAACCTGAACCCCCTCAACCCTGAACCCTGAACCCTAAACCCTAAGTTCTGTGTTTTCGAGACTTGAGGCCAGAGCGTGGCAGAATGCAGGCTTGCTCGTGTTGGCTCCAGTTCTTGGCACTTGCAAATAGGACAAAGCACAAACCCTAAACCCCATAAGCCCCTACACGCCTAAAGCCCCAAATTCCTAAAAAGTCTTCAGCCCCAAGCTCTAAACAACCCTAAGCCCTAAGCCCTAAGCCCTAAGCCCTAAACCCTAAACCCTAAACCCTAAACCCTAAACCCTAAACCCCAAACCCTAAACCCTAAATCTGGATTGCAAACTGCCGGCCATGTTGTGCCATGCGCGGCTGCGGGCTCAACTTCATGGGCCGAGCGCGGAGGAGGGGGGGTGGCTTGAGGATTGGCGGGGGGGGGGATTTGGGTTAAGGGTTTAAGGTTTGGGGTTTAGGGTTTTAGGGATTTAGGGTTTTAGGGTTTTAGGGTTTTAGTGTTTCGGGTTTAGGTGCTTTGGGTATGAAGGGTTGTTGTACTTGAAGCCTCGGGGTTTCTGGTTCAAGGGTTTCGGGCTTTTGTGCTTTGAACCGGCTACCCATATCATCTCCTTCTCGATCCCTTTTCGTTTCCAACAAGCTCTCCCCCTCAAAAAATATAAAATGCCGATTGAAAGTAAGTAGTCCCTGTTAAGGTCCGAGCATGACTATCGTGACATCATGGTCCCTGGCAGTCCCAGCCAGGAGGTCACTGGGTCTGGCGGCTGTGGCGAAGAGCCGGAGCAGAGAGTTGAGGGACTCGACCGTGTGTGACAAGGCAGTTCCACACAATCTGCAGTTTTGGGGGTAGACGAAAATAGAAATACAGACCCCCAAATAGTAGGATCCCCCTGCAATAAGGACCCCAAGAAGGTACCCCTAATATCGTAAACCCCCATGTGGGGGAGTTCAGTCTGTTTCCAATCTGCGCCCCGCCCTCGGCATTCTGTTGTTCCTGGTTCGAACGAAGTTTGATGGGGACATTTTGAGAGCTGCGAGACGAGGGCGCACGCATGGGCATGCCAACTTTCCCATAATATGACTACATGAGCCCGGGCCGTGAGCATCAGCCAACAGTCGTTTTGGCTGAGAAGCATCGGCGCCCCGCCCACTTGTGCTGCGTTCCTTCTCTCGGCGCCGTCTGGTCATACTATGGATCGCGTTTGCTTCTACAGCCTTGTCTCGGGAGAGGAGCAGTCGCGCATGGACAGGGCTGAGCTTCGCGCAGCTGCCACATGCCTAGAGGGGGTGCGGAAACACTTTCACGAGCATCATGGCCACCCGTTCTTCGCCGTTAAAGTCTTCAGGTCACCAACAGATGTGGCAGTGATTCCAAGGCAGCAGACCTTTGAGGAACTTGGGGAGTGTGACAGTCTCTTTGTCCTTGTGGCAACCCTGGACAAGGAGGATCCTCGGCAGCTTTTCGCGATTGCGGATGCCAGGGATGAGAACGTGGCTGCTCTGGAGGAGGTGCTCGAGGAGGTCGATGCAGATGTGCGTGACTCGCATGGCGAGACGGCGGCCTGCAAAGTCTGCAGGCAGGGGCATCTGGGCATGTTGCGCAGCTTGCACCTGGCCAATGCCGACTTCACTCTTGGCCCAAGAGGCGCCACCCCGCTCTTGCTGTCTTGTCAAGAAGGGCACCTAGCATGTGCCAGATTTCTCCTAGGCACTGGCCGGCTGGTGCTCAACTTGTTGGAGGTGCGTGACAGGGAATCTGACACCCCGCTCACCAAAGCCGCGCGCTTTGGCCACACGCCATGCGTCGAGCTTCTCGTGGCCAGCCGAGCTGACATTGAGGCAAAGGGCAGATACGGCAACACCGCCATCATTGTTGCAGCAAAGCACGGCCACGCGGATTGCGTCAGGTTCTTGCTGGACCAAGGAGCCGTTAAGGATGCGCAGGCCAATGACCTGAACACAAGCCTCATCCTTGCGGCTGACAGGGGCCACCCCAAGTCCGTAGAGATTTTGTTGTCCGCTGGCGCAGACAAAGACATTGAAGCCAACAATGGGAGGACAGCACTCGACTGCGCAAGTGGCATGGCTGCGCGACGTTCCGATGTGGAGGGATATGCTGAATGCGCCAGGCTTCTCGAGGCAGCTAAGGGAGGCAACAGCCGACAACTGCTGCAAGGCGCAGAACTGGGCAGGCCCAGTGTTGTCCGTGCAGCCTTGGCCGCAGGTGTAAGTTTAGAGGTGAAGAACCGATACGGCAAGACAGCGCTCATGCTGGCGGCAGAGAAGGGCCATGTGGAGTGCCTTCAGCTCCTGCTCGCCCGCGGAGCCAACAAGGATGCCCAGAGCAACGATGACGACTCTGCGCTCAGCCTCGCGTCCACACATGGACATGCGGAGTGCTTGGCCCTTCTAAGGGCACACGGAGCCTGAGCAGACGAAGATCCCGCATCCTTGAAGGCGAGGACGGCGCGCGAGTAGGTATGTCCATAGGCCTAGCTTCAACTGCTGCACGCCCGTCCTGCTTCGAGGGGTTTTGGCATGAATGGTCAATCTTGTTGTTTGTGAACAGGCGGTCTGCAACAGAGAAGAGAGCATCAGCTGTAGAGGTCCCCCGCAAGCATGCACGGAGATGGTGGGCTCAGTGCCTCTTGTTGGGAGCTTAAGGGTCCTAGGAGCAAGCCTCCAGTCTAGACTTGAAGCGTTGGGGTCTTTGGTTTCTAACATAGCTTCCAGGATGATATCACTGGCATGTTTCCATGGTGATCTCCGTCAGCTGTGTCAGGGTAAGGCAATTTTGGATGCGCAGCGGAAGTTGGAAGTACTTGTGCTGGCACACATCTGGATGTACAGCTGTGAGTGTGAGGGCTATCTAGCCGCTGGTGCTGCACGTTGAAGTGCCGGCTGGCAATCTGTCCATATTTCGGCCCTCCCCCACCACGGGAAGCACATGGAGTCCGCGTGGTATTCCATGTGCAGAGGGATGCCTACGCACCGGGAGAGCCCCTTTTAGTTCCTTTGGCAGCGGGCGGCTCCTGTGCAGATCTTGCAAAAAGGTGACCGGCCTGGATGTTGGAATGCTGATCTTTCATGTTCCTAGGCCTTGGGGCAATCTTCATAGTGCGGACTGCGCGAAGTTAGACATGGCTCTGAATTCTGAATGTCTTGAGGCCAGCCTCCCTCAGCCCGGGCAGCTGGCAGATGCTGCACGTTTGCTGAACTCGGGAGAAAGCGTGTAAAACGTACCTGGCATCAGGCTTGGGTGTTCACTTCGCATGGCTGGCACTCGGTTCCTTATGTGCGGAGACATAGTTCTTCCCATTTGCGAAGAGGTTCATGGGCATGATGCATGCCATGGGATCAGGCCCGCAATACCTGGAGCAGCACAGGGACGAATAACTCGTCGCACATTCGCACACATCAGAGGCCAGTATCTGCAACCCTAAACCCTCTTGCCGTCCTTTTGAAGTTGTTGTCATCGACGTTGTTGTAGGACGGTGTTAGTCTGCTAATCCTACAGCCTCCAGAACCACGACGGATACGATCTACTAGGCAAGCTTGCTGCCCATCCTGCGGCACTCGGGCTTTCATTCGCGTGGTTGTCCTGAGGGGAGTAGAGGCGGGGATTCCAGAAATGTGGAAGTTCTCATTTCGTGCCCCGCCGAACCAAGAAGGATGGCACATCAGGGGAATGTTGGCGGGGTTCTGTGTTGTCGAGACCTGAGGCCAGAGCAAGGCAGAATGCTGGCTCGCACGTGTTGGCTCCAGTTCTTGGACACGCAAATAGGACAAAGTACAAGTTGATGTGAAGGCACTTGGCTACTTGTCCCGGAATAGAGGGTACCTCATTCCCTTATGGCCTACTAAGAACCAGCAAGATTGTTGTCCAGCAGGCAATGCCTCGACTCCACGCACAAAAGCCTCCAACCCTTCAGCCCTGACGCCCAACCCCAAACCCCCAAACCCCTGAAGCCCCAAACCCGCAAACGATCTTCAGCCCTAAGCCCTAATCCTCTACACCCCCAAGCGCCTGGAACCTCTTAAGTTTGGATTGCAAACTGCGGCCCATGTTGCGCCATGCGCAGTTGGGGGTTCAACTCCCCAATCCGAGCGCGGGGAGGAGAGGTTTGTAGGGCTTAGGTTTTGGGGTTTGGGGTTTTGGGGTTTTGGGGGAAAATCTGGGTTCAGGGTTGGGATGTTCCCCCCTCACACTAACAGTCCTTCATCGGGATTATAGCGCTCCCTGTTTGAATCCCGGTGAAGGACTTTTAGTACAAAGGGAGAGCATCCCAAGTTTAAGGGTTAGGGTTTAGGGTCGAGTTTCGTGTTGAGGGGCTTGAGGGACTCAGGGTTTAGGAGTTTAGGCTACAGAGGCCTTGAACGCAAGATTGAGTGGGTTTAGGGTTTAGGGTTTAGGGTTTAGGGTAAACTGTTCCCGACCCAGTGCAAGATCTCAAACCCCAAGCCCCATAAACCATACCTTGAACCCTCGACCCCCAAACGCCAAAAAACGTAAAGCCCCAAAACACCCCCCATAAACCCTAAACCCTAAACCCTAAACCCTAAACCCTAAACCCTAAACCCTAAACCCTAAACCCTACACCCCAAGCCCCAAAGCTAAACCCTTCCGGAGCCTGCAAAAGCCCATCAAAAGGATCCCCGCGACCCAAGACTCGCGCAAAGCCGGCTGAGCCTGGCGATGGTCGCGGCCCCTGAGGGGTGCGGCCTCAAACTCTAAAAGCCCTCAACCCTGCACCCTAAACCCGAAACCCTAAACCCTAAACCCTAGACCCTAAACCCTAGACCCTAGACCCTAAACCCTAAACCCCAAACCCCAGCAAGTTGTTTGGGACTTGTCCGCGCAGGGGTCTGCGCCACTGGGCTTCGAAGTTCCTTCGAAGATGCTTGTGTTGGGGGTTTGGGGGACCCCCAAACCCTCAACCCTACACCCTAAACCCTAAACCCTAAACCCTAAACCCTAAACCCTAAACCCTAAACCCTAAATCCGAAACATCCCGAAGCCAGAGCCTGAAATTCTTAACATCAGCTCTGACCCAAGCCGAAGCTGAAAAGAGGCACCTTCTGTCCCCCTACAACTCCCTGTAAAGGATCATCTAGGGTTTAGGGTTTAGGGTTCAGGGTTTAGGGTTTAGGACTTAGGATTGAGGGTTTAGGAAAAGGGCCCAACTCTCGACTTCCCTGACAAAGGGTCCGTAAGTTGCAGCTGAGGCGAAGCCCGCAGTGCCTCGAAGGACATTCGCCGCTTGCATCACACGCCCCCATGGCAGAGAAGAGCCTAGGTAGGCCCTTGGGACAGCCTATATTTCCGCCTTATTGGGTTTAAGCTACTATTTGCTTCAGAACCCCCTCCGCCCCCCGCCCCCCCCCCCCCCCCCCCCCCCCCCCCCAAACCCCCCCCCCCCCCCCCAAAAAAAAAGAAAACATAATCATCCCTATATTACCCTTATAAGGAAGAATAACTTACTATTTTTTGCGGGTTCTTAAGCCATGGGTAGCAAGCGGATAGTAATGAGGACCATGTTTAAGAGGGTCTTCGGGGGCCATCCTTGGATGATCCAAAATAGCCCATGGCAACCATACCATCATGGCGACGGTTTAGGGTTTAGGGTTTAGGGTTTAGGGTTTAGGGTTTAGGGTTTAGGGTTTAGGGTTTAGGGTCTAGGGTCTAGGGTCTAGGGTTTAGGGTTTAGGATTTGCCAAAGTAGTTGCACAAGAAACACAATGACCATCATTAAAATTCGCTGTATGAATATCCATAGTGCTCATAATGATAATGGCTGTCATAATGACGAGAGCAGTCCTTCTGATTGAATACTAGGTAACGTATTCATAATCGTAGAGTAGGCCTACCCATGAGTTTGGCTAGGATTCCCTTATAATAAGGACCACAATAAGGTACCCAGGTACCCCCTAATTAGTTTTCGTAATCCTCATGCTCAACCCTAAACCCTAAACCCTAACCCTAAACCCTAAACCCGAGACCCTAGACCCTAAACCCTAAACCCTAAACCCTAAGCCCTAAATCTAATTTTGCTGGGTGAGTTCCCGAACTTCTAGCAGGAACGCAGGGGACGCGGTCGCCGGCGGAGCCAGGCGTGGCCCGCAAGATGGCCGCGGGAGATGTAAGGGAATAGGGTTTAGGGCTCAGGGTTTCGGGTTTAGGGTTTAGGGTTTAGGATTTAGGGTTTAGGGCTTAGGGTTTAGGGTTTCGGGTTTAGTGAAAGTCCTCAATTATCGAAGCTCTTACACCCTGACCGTCCTGACCATGACTTCTTTGAATTCTTTGAAGCCCAGATGCTTGTCTCGAGAATCGCCACAACTATCACGACCCTATCGCGTGTTCTTTACATTATGTGTTGCTATGGTTCCGATATCCTTCAAGGTTTTTTTTAAACGTTAAAAACCCTAAATTCCAAAAGGGTTTTTCACGTTAAAAACCCTAAACCCTAAACGGTTTTGTTTAACGTTAAAAACCCTCTTGTGCCAGGCTTCCAGACAGCGACGACGGCGGCCTAGGCCGGGACTTCGTGTGGCGAGCGGTTCAGGAAGTGGGGCTTCTTGGTGCTCCGGGGGCGGGGGGGGGACCGAGGAAATGGATGAGGGATGTGGGTTTTGCTTTTGGGGCAGATATGGGGCATGATTACAGGGGATCAGCCCGGGGGAGTGGAGGTCCCTTTTGCTGAGTGAACACGTGGCCGAAGGTCCGACGACAAGAAAGATCGCTCCAGGCCGCTTGTGGCGCAGAGATCTCGTGGCAGATTCTGGCTTTCTGTGCCATTTAGTGCTCATTCCTATCACCTTATTTCGTATGAGGCTGTTGTTGTTATGGTCATGAGAATTGCATGAAGCTGCTATTGCTATGGTCATTAGTATTGTATCGCCATTGTTCTTATTCGCATTATACAGACCGGGTGCATCTCGCTGGGCACAGGAGGGGCCCAAAGCGAAGAAGGCGGCACGCCGACGCGGAGAAGGGAAATCCAGATGCTCCCGAGGATCGGAGGGCAGGTGTCATGGTCCCTTGACATGGGGTTTTTGAGTAAGGGAACCCTAACATAGACCCCCAAATAATATAATTCCCTTCTAATATGGACCCCAATAAGGTACCCCTAATATCGTAAAGCCCTCAGAACCTTACGTTTGTAAAGGGTTCTGAAGTATGGGTTCTTGGGTTCTGGAGGTAGATACCGTAAAGGGGTACCTAAAAAAAGGATCCACCAGGGGTTCCACCCAGCTTCCTTGAGCTGAGCCCCTGAAGGACCAAGCTCAAAATGAGAAGGGCCCGCCAGAGGAGCTTTTGCTAACCCCCTCTGGTTCTTAGTAGGGAGTGAGGGAATTAGGGCCCTGTATATATATATATATATATACATACCCTTTAAGAGATTATATGGGGTGCCTCATTCCCTCATTTGCTACTAAGAACCAGCCAGCTTTGGTAAAGCGTGTGTCTGGTATGGCTTTGTGGCAACGGGTGAACCAGCAGGAAGCTCCTAAACAGCCCCCCCTCCCCAAGCCCTAAACCCTAAACCCTAAACCCCAAACCCTAAACCCTAAAC